GGGGGGGGGAGTACTTTTTAGCCGGAAAAAACATTTCACTGTGTGTTGTACTAGTTATAACTACATGTGACAAATAAATAAAGAATTGAAATTGAATTGTTTCGGTGCAGGTTTAGCAGCTCACTCCCTAAATTGAAATCCTAGTTCAGCGTGTGCACCGTGACGTAGTTTCTGCTCGGGGCAGTTCAAGGGTTTTGTACTGCACTGGTGGCACTAAGCTTATTCTCTGTTATCCACCTCCAGTCTGAACATGTGGAAGCTATGTTGCCTTCTTAACAGAACTATAACATGTCCTCTGCAACTGCTGTTTTCTCCTGAGGTTGAATATCTTCAGGCTACCAACCTGTAATATTTCCTGCCTTGAAAAATTAGTCTCTGCATCCAACTGTGTATAAGATGCTGTCGAAAGACCTGCTTTGTGAAGAATAGCCAAACCGAGTGAAAGGCTAGTGGACGTCAGTGCGTTCCTGCCCAGGTCCGTCTGCTGTGCTCCCAGTTAAACACACGGGAGTTGTTAACCCAGTCTGGTTTTGCCTGAAGATACAGAAGAGCATTTCAGTGAAACTGCCCCAGAGTCAATATAGTGTTTGTTCCGCCCCTCGTCCACAGTGATTGGACGACTGGGTAAAGTTACAGATGTAGGTGACATGTTTAACCCAAAGTTTAACCTTTGACCTTCAGCAACCAAAAACAAAAGCATGTAGTCTTCAAACAGCTGGGAAAGAGTAACCGCCTCAGGGGACAGTGTTAGCTTGTATGCATGTGACAGTGGGAACATCAGTGGATATCATCCATCTTCAGATTACTTCAGACGACAGAGAAAGTTTGGGATATTTGCATTTTCAAAGTTTCTGGGGAACCGAGACGACAAATCTGTGGATTCCTCTACATCAGAGCCATTTCTCTGACACACTGTACTTACTGCATCGCACAGTTTACTAGCTTGGCATATTTAGTGTTTGAACGCCTGGACCTACTGACCATCAGCTGCACCACATGGTAGTATGCATATACTATTATATATTGTACATATATTTATTAGTTTCAGATGTAGCCATTCTTGTATTTTGCACAACTCTGTTGCTTGTGAAGCTCGCACACAAGAATTTCACTCACATGTGCTGTACCAATGTACCTGCACATGTGATGTGACAATAAAAGTGATTTGATTTGATTTGATGTTAAGCTCGTTAAAATGCTTTTAAAATCAGAGCGTCTGCAGTTCCTGTCGTAACTTTGCAAAGTGGAGCCAGAAGGGAGACGAAAGGTGTTGAGGAAAAACGAGTGTGCAGAAGAAAAAAAGTTCTGCGCACTGAAAGACACAGAGAGAGACAGTGACAGTGGTGTGTGTGTGTGTGCTTTGGTGTGTGTGTGTGTGTGTGTGTGTGTGTGTGTGTCTGTCTCTGTTGCCAGGCCTGTAACTGACAGCAGAGAGAGACGGACTAAAGAGGAGAGCGCAGGAAGTGAAGAACGGGGGTAAGAGAGAGGACAGAGAGAGGTGGGGAGTCACTCCAACAGCTGATTGCTGCTGATAATGTCCACACCAACACTGGACATGAGGTGGAGATGCAGTGAGATGCAGTGATGACATGGCAACAGAGGAAAGTAGAGGAGATGATTAACAAAACGAAGAAGGAAGAAGACATCTGAGAGGAAACGAGCACAAGGAATGAAGGAAAGACAAAAGGAGACAAAAATGAGGACAGGTTACAAGAGAGGAGACAAAGAAAGGGTGGAGGGAGGAACAGTTGGGGAACTTAACTGAGCTGTTAATGAGCTATGAACAGAGCGGACCGTCTACTAACTGCAAGTTTGATCTCTGCCTTACTCCGGATGGTGGGAGGAGCATTGGAGTGAGTGAACGTTAGGCACGTCAGCATAGTAAGAAGGCCTGAATGGGCCCCGAGTGAGAGTCTGAGAGCTCAGACTGAGCAGAAATGTGAAGAACAGCCTGTTTGGACTTTAAGCCTTTATTTGGCTGCACTTCACACCAACAAGCTTAGAACTGCAAAAAGCTCCACTTCCAGTACACCAGAATAAGAAGCTGGTGCAGTGCAGCATTTGGTGCTAACAGGAAGTGACAAACTTCAATTTCAGCAGTAATGCAGCCGTGTCTGCTCTGGCATTTGCTCCAACCTCGCTGCATGTATAAGAGCAGTAGCAGGGTGGTGTTCCCCTCCATCAGTGTTACTGCATCAGTGGGGTTTTAGGGACGCAGCTGATTTCTTTTCCTCTAAAAGCCAAAAGCAACACTTATCACTAATCCAGTCACCAAAATTCATTTGTGCTATTACTGACAAACATTTAAAATGATTTATGGAGTCAGTGCGACCACAGCGACAGACTGATGGGAAACACACCGGGCTGAAACAGGCTGAACTACATCAGCCTTTGAGTCGTGCAAAAGGTTTCACCTTGGGAAGCCTGAAGTAGCTGCTAAATGATGCAGACATAACGGCCTCTGGTTGTGACATGTGGTTCAGGCGCAGGGTTCATAACGCACCAACAGCAAACTGCACTTAAAGTTGCAGGAGACAACTTTAAGACTTTTCACACTTAGCGAGGGTAAGTGGGATTACTGCCACTGTCACAGCGACCTCATCGCGTTAGCACAGACTCAAACCATCAGCATCACAAAGCAAAGAAAGGAAGGGAAGGGCCGATGAGGGGAAGGAACCAGCTTAAAGAATGTAATGTAAAGTTATGACAAGAGCCACAGTTCTTTACTAGGTTAGAAGATGAAAGATTTATACCAGTGAACATTTGCTCTGACCACCCTGAGAAATGCCCAGTTTGAGCCAATGACAGCACTTCATGGTGGGAGAAAACAACTCCTGAGAAAAATCACGTGAGAGAAGTGCTTTGACCAAAACACAGTGGAAGTGTTGGTCCAAACAGGGGACGTCCCGTCCTACTGTCTCTGTGAGACACAAGATCTGTGACGAGGTTACAGAGACATCCTGCAGCAGTTCCCAGCCAACAGCAACGGCAGCACCTCCTTCTCTACTCTTTGATATTGTTGAAGAGTTCCTGTCTCCAGACTGTTGATGTTATACACATGCAAAGCTGCTGCTGATGCCTCAGAACTGAGGTTTGCAGCAAAATCAAGAGATCCAGACAGAGGCGTTGATCCATCACTATAATGTAATGCTGTTGAAGTCTGCTTAAACACGCTGCTGCAGCAGGTCCAGTCCGTGTCTCTGAAGGGCTCAGCAGAGCTTATTCAACAAGTCACAACACAGTGGTTTCATTTACTATTGTTATTATGAAGGTTAAGTTTGAACAGCACATCGAATTCTGTCTTCTGTCCTAAATTAAGATTTTCTGGAAGATGCAGACACAGGCATTGGCAAACAGAACAGGATGGTGAAAATGAGGCTGATGGGAAATCAGAGCCAAGCACACATGATTATTCTATCGCCCGACATCATGCGATCAACTTCACAATGTCAGATTAGTGCAAGAAAGACCTTTCCCAGTGCAGACACAGTAGATTTGCTTATTCTGGAAGACGCCAGGCGTTGGCAAAGCGAAGAGGACTGTGGGAAATCCGACTGTAGGGCTGTTCCAGTGGAAGATCCCGACTCGGAAAGAACAAGCAGCAGCACTCCTGTTCTCCTACACATGAATGTAACAGGGCTACAGTGACTCATCAGGTGAGTTGGTTACAAAAAGCAAAGCTTTTGCTTTGATGCTTCGTTTGAAGAAACTCTACAGAGCTCACCACGTTAGCGCAACATTTGTGACTAAAAAGCGTGCGACATGAAAGCCAAGCAGACTCCAGTTTGCAACAGACACCAACAACAACAGAGCAGATGCTGCCCTAGCTTAACATGGAGTCTGTCTGCACACTAACGCAAAAGGCAAAGAGGCGGAGTCATTACCGTGAGCCCACGTGTAGCTCCTCCCATCCACCATCGATAGTTTCACTCAACAAAAAATCTCCATTAAACTGTGGGCAGCTGTGGCTACACCTGCAGCTGCCTCCACCCGTGTGAATGTGAGAGTGAATGAATAGTGGAATAGTACAGCGCTGTATAAATGCAACCCATTATTATTATTATTTTTGCATTTAAGACAATATTTTCTTCACAAACTCTGATAAAATCTCACATAAACACCATGAGAGGGCAGTTAGTGTACGCACTGAAAGTACTAAAACCACCGAGCCGCTCATTTTACAATCCTCTGTTGTTGCTCTTTTGAACATTACTGTTGGTCTTTAATGAGACAGAAGCTCTTCTTATCCGATTCATCGATGGATTAATGAAATATACTGATTATTGCAGGGCGTTTGCACTGGTTCAGGGTTATTACAGCAGAGTAAAGCAATGGGCGCTCAGCAGAGTGTTGGGACTCCTCCAGGTGACGACCTCCTGAAGCTGGTTGTACAAAGCTGCAGACAGCATGAAGTCATAGCTCTGAGACAGTCACTGCTGCTCCTCTGATCACAGTCAATCCTTGAAAGAGTCATAGCTGTTCACTGCTAAGCTACAGTGTGTAGTGTGAGTCTGTGAGACGTAGCATCAGCAAGTCATGGATTGAAAGGCCTTTACGATCAATAACATAAAGCTGTGTGGAATAAAAGCTGCGCTTACTAAAAGTCTCCTAGAGATCCTTTTCCTTTCTTCTCCTTGTGCCGTTCTCCTCGTCTTCACTCTTGGTAAATGTCTTCATTCACAGACAGCAGTGGCTCTTCTCTGCCTCACGGGGTTTCTTGCTCTTCTTCCTCGTCGCTGTGTGATTGCCGTCTTTTCTGAAACTCAAAGGCTCCACAGTAGCTCCACTCAGCGGGGGCTCTGGCACTTCAGCAGGCCGCTGAGGATAACGGGAGGCTTTTGTTACTGACTGCTGCGACGAATCAACACGGGTGCAGAGTGGAATAGTGTGAATGTAAACTCCACTCTGTTCACTCAGTCTTTGCCACTTCATGACCTGTTTTCTTCCACTGACTGGCACACAAAGTCAAAGTGTTCCCAGTATACCCAGCATGTTGTTACCTGTGGTCGGGGGTGTCCAGTCACCAAACACTGCAGCTCTAGAGTCTCTCCCTCTTTGATAGTGTACACCCTCTCACTGTAGCGCTCCTCCTCCACATTACAGGCCTGACCAGAGTGCACGATTCGCACTGTAGGGGGCGCTGTGAACAACAACACAAATACAAAAGGTTAATATACAAGAGTCGTCTCTGAAAACACATCTAGTGTGTGTGTGTGTGTGAGATGTTTGGATCCATCCACCTGAGCTCATGTGACCTCCTGCCTCCTCCTGTCATTATCACTCTGTCCACATGATGGCACTGCAGCAACCAAATATGCTGCTGCACAAGCCAGCTACACACACTTGTTCATGGACTGCGTATGAGGTGTGTGGTTGGTGGAGCCAGACAAGCTGGTCCGAGTATTTCAGAAACTAAATCTACTGGATTCCCAAAAAGAGAAAACATCCACCGCTCTGGGCAGAAGTGTCGGAACGAGACAGAAGGAGAGCACAGCTGGAGGAAATCAGAACTGACAGACAGAGAAGCAAAGCAGGATTTACTCAGGTGAGACACAGACCTTCAAAGTAAAACAGGAAGTATAACACTGAGACGCGGACTAGACACGGTGGAGACAGAGCAGCTAAGAAACACAGAGACATAAACCAGAGAACTCTATAAGAACCAAAAGCCTAGAGATGATAAGTAACACACAGAGGGAAATACCAGGCACATAACACACAAACTAGACTCAAGGGAGTAACTAAAGACCAACAATGAGAACATAACTCACAATACAAAGTGACAAAAAGCACAGGAAACTCAAAACACAAATATTGTTGCTGACCACGCCCATCCATTTATGACCAAAGTGTTCCCACGTAGCACGACAACGTGTCAGAATCGTCTTAGGCTAGTGGAATAGTAGATCATGGATGTGCTGAACAACACGCATGATACTTTTCATGTGAGTGTGGACCAACATGTCTGTGCAGTGATGTCGCAGTCAAAGCACGACTTCCATGCTGCAGCAGCAGGTGAGGGTAGAAATGATACCGAGGATAAACTATGGACACAAAGTTTCAATATTTATTTTAAACATTTAAATGCTACGGGAATATCATTACGATTTATTTCATAACTTGTGCCAACATGTGCATCAGTCTGAATGAGTCTTTATCAGTGGGCAGCTGGTGTATTATGGTTCCTATAGAGCAGGAAGGTTGCTCAGCACAAATAGTTAACTGGGGATTTTTATAACATGTAGACAACAATGGATGCAATTTCTGACAATTTATCACAATTAACTGCATGTAACTGCCTCTTAATTCAATAGCAGCTTTTGTCTCATGACAACGTTTATGGTAAACTTTAGTCCCACTTTGCAGCACAAAATATCTCTGAATAAAGATATTGAAAGTTCAACTTAAGGTTTAACTTAAGGTTTAAGGTTTAAAGTTTGGTATTTGAATAATCGAGTTTTTTCCTCCTGTACAACTTTAACCATGAAGATTACAGATTTGCATTTGCACACAGGACCAGCAGTCCATGCACATTGTGCACTTGTGCAGAGCTCTCCAGGTCAAGTCTCATTTTTAAAAGGTAAAAACAAAGCAATTAAAGGAAAGTAGAGATCAAGCAAACAGTGGAGCAATCTGCTAGTATTTACAATATAAAAAAGATGTATTTATATATATACAAAAACACTGGACAGGGTGGTGATACAAGTACTTACTGGTGGGAGTTCAAATAGTATATTATATGTAAATAGTGTAATAGTATTGCACACAGTGAAGGAGAGCTGTTGTGCTCAGTCCCAGCTCCATACGTATGATGGACTTCACAGTTCATGATTCACAGATATAAAAGTCCTTATCTTATACAGGGGCTGCCCCTCAATGCATCCCCTGTCTAACAAACGCCTTTGTAACTCCTCCCCACTGACTTCTTTCCTCTGATTGGCTGCCTCATTATCACAAGGTTCAAAGAAGAGGTGAGAGCCACCTGTGCTCACAGGCAGACGACCATTTCAGGAAGAATTTCTGTAAATGGCATCACACAGATCCAAGAGCAGAAAAAATGGCTGAAACAGAGTTTTTACAACAAGGTGGATCCTGAGCTTTAGCTCGTTCACCCACGTAGTAGACAGGTCTCTCAAGCTGGCACTTCTGACTGACTGGTGTCATGGCAGAGTGTCTGTCAACCAGATGCAGGTCTGGCAATGATGGCACTGTTTGTGTTGCTATTTTCCTGTTTTAGTTAGAAGACCCAAATGCCATGTTGCAATGCTATACTGCTATGGTAGCGTTTCAAATGCAGGTTTGAAAGGTTTGTGACTGTACACTTTATCCAAAATCTAGTGAGGATTCACTCATGTTTACCACTGGGTGGCTGTAGCTCAGGAGGTAGAGCGGGTCACCTCAGAGGGTTAGTGGTTCGATCCCTGGCCCCTCCAGTCTGCATGTCAGGAGTGTGAATATGTATGAATGTAGTTAAGAAGCACTCAGTTTAGAGAAAATGTGGCATGTTGTATAGAGCACTTTGAGTAACCTGGGAGACTAAAAAAATGCTGTTCACTGT